GTGTGTTTACTAAAAGTACAGTTTGGCCATCGCCTGCAGGAATCTCTTCTTCCTCTTCTGCGCAGCCAGCTGCAGCACTTCCTCTGGATTACTGGTGTTCAGTTCTGTCTGTCCAATCGCTTTTATCTGAAGGGTTGGGAGATGACATCGGTTATATTTTTGTTATGAGAATTCTTATTGAATATACAAAATCATACAGGTTCTACACTTCCACACATATTTTATATAAATTCTTTATTGCAGTCCATACACCTAAACACACTGAGTAACCTTAAATGTTCAAGTCTCTCTCCCACAGCCTAATAAAAGCACGTGGAAATCTCTAATTTTATATAAATTAAATTTGAATATTAATTGATTGAACCTCCTTGAAACATTACAGATCAACTTTCTAATCTTTTTCATTTAGCTGCAGTTCCAACAGTTTAAAATAGACCTGGCAGCAGATTAGGACTCTGTACACCCTTCACCAGCTGAATGCAAAGTCCACTGAGGATGTGACTGAGCTGCACTGCTCTAACTGCAGATAATTATATTTCACTGTTGCTGGTCTCTTCCTGCATTATTCTTCTATGATCTTATTACATCACAGAGAAGTCAAATCTATACGTATGAGATGCTTTTCAGGTCGCAGCCTTTCGTGGTATAAGCTGCAGGGTTATAAAGACTTACCGCTATTTGTCTCTTCTCAGTCTCTCCTCGTTTGTGGTGAATATCTGAGCAAAAAAATCAGGAAGCTAAACAGACACTGGAGAGAATGTATTCCTTGAAAAGAAAAACTAAGTTTTAGCCAACAGTGATTATTGTTACATGAAGGATACGTGTGAGATATTCCAGGATGGTGACGTCCCAGATGTAGTCGTAGAATGAGTCCATGGCGTCGTGACTGTAATGTGAGAGGATACTAGCTGTTATTGAGAATGGCTCTGTGGGTAATGTAATGTGTCCTCCAGGGCCGTACCTGTTCTGCTCCTGAAGCGCTTTGAACGCTGTCATGTAGTCGACTTCTCTCAGAAACTGGCACAGAACAGCAACCTGACGAGAATCAGAGATGTCACATTACTT